ACACTATCCAGCATGGTTAGCAGTCCTACCAATATTGATTATCCTACTAACTTTCTTATAAAACCTTCCTGTTTATTTCCGATAGTTTTACGTTTTTTGAAAATCCCTATCTGCATTACCATATTTTTTTCCGATGTTTCCATTTATCACACTTTATAATTTCATTAATTTTACCCCTTGATCAGAAACGGTTCTGAAACTTTCTCACGCATTTCGAATAAATGCACAAATGTACAGCCTAGTTGATGATTTCGTCGAAAAGAAAATTTTCTCCACTGTAACCGTAATTTTAATAATCCAATATCCCTAGAAATCCCATAATCTGAAGGTGGGATTCATTTATTGTATTAAATTTCCCTAGACCTCTTCAGGTGAACACTATACATACAGCAATATATATATATATGTATATATATAATCTCGTTTGACACTAATTAGTTACTGATGTCAAGCGTCTAATTCTTTGTTCAGTGTAGGCTAAATCCCATCAGTCAGGTTTGCAGTGACATTAGTTACCACATAGTGCCAAACCAAAGTATCCATTATAGTGCTTCAGGAAGCTGATAGCGAGCCTGACTATATCAATGGTAACATCTGTGACTGCAGCACTGGGTAACAAGGGTTCGAATCTCAAAGTTGGAGGCAACTCTTGCTCGCAAGTAACAGCAACCTCGAAACCTAGGTTCAAGACTTTCTGTCAGTTACCTCTAACCCTCTAACAACTATATATACCATCAAAAATACATTGGCAGTTATATCACTGATAAGTAAATTAACTGCAGTGAATCAACGACGCTTAATGATACGTACGAATGTTTTACAGGTCAAGTTCAGAAATGTTAAAATCCAGTCTAATACTGAGTAATGGGGTGTTTGAAATAATTGATAAAGTTACTCAGAAGTTTTTTTTGAAGATAAATAAAGATCAGGTGTGATCAAGAGCTGACAGAATTTAAAGAACCACTGGAAAACCTGGGAATACCGAACAGTTGCTTCGTTCAATCTAGAACTCTTCAACGGGACACAGCAAACGGGGTTCGAGTTCCAAACCTTCCAGTTACAAGACAAGTTCGTAGGTCATTCAGCCATTCGGGCCTGATACAGTTGTCCATGAATACCGACTGTTACCAATTCGCCATGTATATACCGCAACCAACAGCCAATTTCATCGGTGAGTAACTCATCCCCTACCTGACTTGATGGATGACACTGCTTACGACTTCTCATTAAAACTCCAGGTGACTTGCTCCTGGAATTTGAAATGCGTGGACCATCGGATAGGGTCTTAGTGGCTTAATGGTGTACAAGCTTAACTTGTAACTTGAAGGTCCTGGACCTGAACCCTGCTGACTGTTTACCGCTGTGCAGTACTCCCTGGTTTTCAGTGGTTCTGTAACCGATGTCAATTCATGACAAAACTGACAACTAATCAAATAATTGCACATCAGCACTTGATAAAATATATATTAGGAAAATTTCCACTGAAGTTACCGCTCCATAGATCAGGATCAATCCTTAGTCGACAGAAAACAGACCCCAGCTGGCTTTAAATGGTTCCTCATTTATCAATTTTATACCAAGTAAATGCGAGCAATGCATTCAGAAAGTCAGCTGTCAGCCTCTTTCACTCTCTCTAATCAAACACTTTATTATATTAAGTAAGCTGTTGAGTCATGTGCTCTTCTAAATTTCACAATCATACTATCTGACAGTACTTTTTCATCTATTATTTGGTTTGTTTAAATTTTCGCAATATCTCCTCAAATTTCACTGGTTTTCAGGAACTGCTTTCACTCACTGATTATGTTATCTTTTTAAAATTGACTGAGGTTTACTTTATAAAGTGAACATTACTAGTAATTAAAACTACTTCAAATTTCCTTAAACCTGTGATTCTTATTTCATGTTTTTCAATGTTTTTACTGGTGTATGAAATAAATTTACAGTTAAACTATTTAATGTGTATGGATGTATCTTACATAATTCAGTCTTCTAACTGTTCCGAGGGTAAAGCTTCAGCTAGTTTCTATCATATTCCATCTGATGATGAAAGTGAGTACTATGTCATATTACTTGCATTCTGAGTGGAATAACACGTTTCAGAGGTAAATCCGCATTTCACTCACTTCTCTACAATCATTTTCAACTGCCTCCAAAACTGCTCGCAAGCTTTCATTTTATCTTCATTTCATCTTTCCCATGTCCCCTTCGAAGCTTGCACTCATTGCGTCGCTTTGGATTCGAATTCCACTTGTGAGCCTCTCTGGAGTGTCGTGTAACTTCAGTGTGTATGTTTAAACTGCCTCTGTTTTCTTCTATAATATTGTTCGGTAATAGATTATTGGATTTAAATAATTTATTCCGTCACTTTAGATGATGTCTGTGAGTCGGTGCCACAGCAGTAGAATGCCCGCCGACCACGCATGTGTCCCGGGGTTCGATCCCTAGCCAACACACTCCTTCACCTCACCAGGCCAGTAATAAGACTGGTAAAAAGGGACGGTTGGGCATCAGGCTAGCAACCCCATTCCGTAAAAGTAAACAAAACTGCTACCGAAACTTCAAAACCTCTAGCTTGAAGCCTTATGTTCCAATGAGAATGTAAAGGAATAAAAAAGAGATGGTATCAGGTAGGAAAATTCTGACTAAACAAACTAAGCATGGAACTTCTATCACTTTGTTTTCTGAATCAGTTATACCTTACATTTGTGCCAAATAAAACATCTTGTCTCCTTTAAGTAGTATATCATTAAAAGAGTGAAAATTTCAGAGTAATTAAGTTTTCAACAAATTTATAGACATGTGAACAAAATCCCAGTGTTGTAGAGTAATATTTACTGATGACCACATTTCCAGCACAAATTATTGCCACTCATAATCATATCAAGGCACTACTCACACAACTTTCTTGCTTCATTTATATACATGAGTAAAACTGATTAGACATTTGAATGAAACCAAGATGAGATAAAGTACATTGAGAAATAATAATATAAGTGTTATTAATCAGTTACAATCAGTTGGGAAATAAGACGAGTGTTTTTATAGTCAAAATAGAAAACTTGTTAGAATGTTTTGATGTGCTTGAATTGAAATAGAATTTTAAGATTAGTTATTATCCTCCTCTGATTTGACTGGTGGTAATAATATCTTCCATATCTCTGGTATTTGCATTGAGTCATTTTTGCTGCACGTGTTGGGTGTAGACTCAATGAACCAGGATTCAGTAATCAATCTCTCTCTCTCCACTTACCTATATTACCTTTTAGAATTTTGACTCTGTCACACCCTATTGTGTGGTTGTGTGTTACTGCATGCAGTGCTATTGCTGAGTTTTTCTCTAAATTACTTATCTTCGCGGGTGGGGTCAATCATTCTAACCTTAGCTAAATTCTTATGTTCTCTTAAACTCACTACTCCCGATCCACTGGTGTGGTCTATGTAGTTGACTCAACTCAGAGTCATTGCAAGGTATTTTGTAAATTATATTATTTTGTTTGATTGGGTCCACCGGGTCCTTTAACCTACAGAGCTTGTCTCTGAGTGAGATTATCAGAACATAAGAACGCAAATACCAGAGATATGGAAGATATTATTACCACCAGTCAAATCAGAGGAGGATAATAAATAATCCTAACATTCTATTTCAATTCACATACATTATAACATTCTAACAACTTACTTATTTTTACTGTAAAAAACATCTTATTTCCCATCTGACTGTATTTGAATGTACTTTATCTTATTGTATTCAAATGTCTAATCAATTTTACTCAAGTATATAAATGAAGCAAGAAAGTTGTGTGAGTAACTTGACATGATTATGAGCAGTAATTTGTGCTCGAAATGGTGTCATCAGTAAATATTACTGTACAACACTGTGTGATTTATCAAAATAAGTTTTACCCACAATGGAATTATACTCTACTACAGTGCACAAGTTTTATACTCATATCAATAATACAGACAAAATATTATTCACCACTTTCTTTCAATTTAATAAAACACAAAAGAACAGAACAAATATATTTTGACCAAATAAATCATGCTTTCCACTCTCTCACACACGCACACACACACGATGTAAATTTGAACACTACTAAATACTGACAATTGAATACAGTCAGAAAATGTCTGATAGTACAGCTTCTCACTGCAGCCATCAAAATTCATTAATATTTAACATTTTTTTAATTCGCATTCATCATAATTATTTGTGAATTAAAAGTCAATCTGAACGAAGAATATTCTTTTCAATAATTTGTACAAAATGTATAAAGAACGATGGAAAAAAGAACATTAAAAATCACTAAGATACGAGTAGCAACTCGTTGACCCTGAGTAGAACAATTCACATTAGGATGAGGTTATAATAATAATAAAATCTAAACACTTTTAAAGGCATTTTCTAAAAAGAAAAAACCCTGAAAATATCATCTACTTAAATAAAAAGAGTTAATTTAAGAAGAAAAGTTGCTAATTTTAAAATATTTATGCAGAAACTTGTGTGTTTTCTGGTCTTGAAGGTCGACCACAAACTGACATCAGTAAGAGAAGCACTAACCCCCCCCCCAACAGTCCTATTTTTTCGGGGGCACTTCAGCAGTAAGCACCAGTGATATCCCCACCCCACCCCTCGAGAAGGGATCAAAACTAGGACATTCAATCGACACGTCAAGCATGTCTATCATTCAACTACTGGGACGAAATCCAGCGGCTCATTGCGTCTTACTTATGTCAACTGGCTAGAATCAGCAATTATTTCATCCAAAAAAAGAAGACACCACAAAATATTTGAAAGGATATCAAGACTCTTTTCTAAAATCACTGTTATTTTGTAGGAGGTAACAGATTGTAGGAATACGGCTAGTTTTTTCTCTGTGATATATGACTAATAATCTAAATAAAGCTATATTACTGCTGTCTGTTTGTGTTTAAATCAACACTCACTAATAAGTAGGCATAAAAATCTCAGAAGAATAATAATTTTGTTTTCTCTTTTAGAAAAATGTTTTCAAATCAATTGAATCTAAAAAACCTGAATACATCTCAGGTGAATGTGAATGATTGTAAATGGAAGTCTCATGGTTATTTGTATTTACGATGTTATTATTATTAGAAGTAGAGGTAGTGTTGTAAGGTTGACAAATATTCAAGTTTGGATAGGATTCCATTTCATCAATATTATAATCAGTTGTATAATTATTTCGAATATCATTGCTTAGATGAGATGTATTCGCCAGCTGAATTCTATATGGAGTATAATTTGCATCAGTTGACTGGAAGTAGGCTGGTGTATTCTCTGAAGGATAGTAATCCGACACTGTAGGCGGTGTAGTGTACACTTGTGTCATTTTAATAGATGATGATGAGGACGGTAGTATAAAGTGTTCCGACTTATAATTAGGCTCATACATCGTACAAATATTTTTAGCGGGCATAACTTCTTCTTCTTGCTGCGGTCTAATTGTATGCGTTAGTAGTGGACCGCATGTTTTATAATATGGTTGGATTGTTGATGTTACAATATGCGAAACTCTAGTTAATCTTGTCGCCTGGAAAGAATTTGTACGAGTTGGGCATAGAACTAATCCTATTGGTAGGTCAGTTGTCGATTTCATTTTATACTGTGATGGCAAGCTTTTCACGTTTGACTGTTTACGTTTTCTTCGTGGACAATATTTATAGTTTGGATAACGTTTCATATGATAATCACGTAGTCGGTTAGCTTCTTCAATGAATGGAATTTTATCAGCATTGGTTAGCGATTTCCATAAATTGCCTAATTGTTTACTTATTTCTGAGTTATGCAATTTTGGATTTTCTTCAGCCATTTTACGTCGTTGTAAACGTGACCATACCATAAATGCATTCATTGGACGTTTAATTCTTTCACTATCCACAGAGGTATTATTACAAGTGATTAAACGATTATTTGAAGGGGTAGAGTGTATTTCAACAATTGATGATAATGGTGTAGAGATAATTGGTTTATCTGACTGTGAATGAGGCAATGAAGTTATAGAGGGTTCATTCATAGGCTGAAAAAGAAAACAAACAATATTTGAAAGATTGCAGGTCAATTTTTACGTCTACAATTCAGGGGAGATACTCCTGTGGGGATTCTATCTTATCGTCTAACCACAGAGACAAAGGAGGCTTTCTACTGTGCACGTCTGTTCCTATCCTTCAGTAGCCATCCAGTGTTCACGTAGAAACTGAAAGATGCCTTATCTAACCTTAGCTCTTCCTCATGCATATACCATTTCAACTGTTCCTATGTTTCAAGTTATAATAGGGGGCATGATTAGGCAGGTTCGTCTATGGGTTTGAGAACATTTACCAGCTTGGTTCAGCAAGGGGGAAATTAAATGCATAAAAAGTTCTATCCTGTCACACTTGGCCGATACTGGACATCATATCAACGCCAACACAGCCTTTAGGATTATATACAAAATTCCGGAGTCTTTATCACGTACAGTTCGCTGACGTCTCCTAAATTTAGCTGAAGCTGTTGCAATAAGATCGACTGGACCAGAACTTTACATTCAAAAAGAACACACCCAGACGCTGTTCCTACCGTGGCCAAAATTAGATTTCTTCTTCTCTCCAAGAGTACCTCTTTCCCTTATCCTATTTTTTCTTTTGATTTGCTTGTTATTACAGTTACTATTATTATTCGTTTTAATTTGTGCCTTTCATTCAAGCATTCTTTCAATACTATCGAATTTCCCATTTATACTATTCTGACTCATTACTAGTGATATCATCCCTTTTTCTCCATATATGCTTCCACCTGTTTCATTTCACACATTGGTTATTTCATTATGAACTTTCCATTGCGGTCTTACAATCTCTTTGACATACACTACTTTGTACTAGCTACTCACCTGACACCATTTTACAACTTTGAACTGACTTGTCAATTCTCTTCTCCTAAATTGTATGAAACTATTATGACTAATCACCGCCATCATCTCCTATTTTAAAATATCTTGTAACTGAATTTAGCTTAGCACGTTTTTCACACAAGCACTATTTATTTTGACACCCCATAAGTAATCTGTTATTCTGCGTTAAAAATGTAGCCGCCGTATAACTGATCATTATTGTAACGATAACAAATCCTAAATTTTATAACTGTAAGAGCCTGAAGAGAAATTACTGAAAAGAATATTCTTCATTCAGATTGACTTTTAATTAGAAATTGGTCTTGATTTAAAATTACGTAATAAATAGCGAGTTACGATAAATTTCTGAATAAGGCGCTTTGTGTCGATGATAAATTACTTGAATGGCCTCATCAGAAACCAGGAAAGCTACACTGGAATACTATTGCTTGATGAAATGTATCCGAAATTTCTTAACACGATATTTTCTCTTGTTGTTTTGGAGAAATATTTATGGTCTAGGGGTAGAATGCTCGCCAACCATGCGTTTCGTCCAGGGGTTTGATCCCCAAATTTGACTTAGTTTACCAGCCAGTAATAAACCTGGATTAGAAGCAAGGTTGACCTCCAGGCTGGCAGCCTCATGTCGTTTAACCTACTGCTGCTGTTCCACTCAGAACACAAAGGAATGAAGAAGTTTCAGAAGTTGTTAAGGTGTTTTTCAGATGACACAATCATCAACCAGAGAAGTCATTAACTATCCATTTGTGTCGCATGGGAACTGGCACGCCAACTTCATGGATTCTAAGGCTTCGAGCTTTAAGATTTCAGCGGTGTGGGTATTGTTTTTAAAGAGTGGCGTTTCTGGCCTCATGTCCAACCATCCAATTTTTTCCAGGCCTACCACTGGATAGTAAGTTGAGCGAGGTTTAGGAGTGCGTTGACTGAGAATCAAGCCTGGTCCATGGAACGAAAATTTGACCATTGAACCAGTGACGAAATATCAGAAACATTTGTAATTAACAAATGAAAACAACCAAACACTGGAAGTCAAATTGAAGATGTTAAGAAACCTACTACTTTTAATGTATTTCTTACCAGGAAACAACGTTACGTATTAAAATGTAAAGAATCAACGTCTGCTGAACATTCCCCCTTAATTATGAACTAATCAACTATACATTTTCACAGGATATTTGATTCAGCAGGTTCCCATCGAATCAGGAACTTGGAAATTATTGGGGTTATATTTCCCAGTTTCTAACATTTAGTGATATGGTGTAACCAACATTCAGAACCGATATATTAGTCCTACCCTCCCCCTCTTTCTCTAGTTTTTTTGTCATCTAAATGTATTTTAAGTTTTTCAGGTTTTATTTTTTTTCACTCAGTTTTGGAATGCCATAGCTGTAAGTGAATGATACTTTGTATTCATCATTCATAGTTGGGCACGTTTTAATACAAAGTTTTAAAATGCATTAGTAGTAAGCTATTAGTTTTCATAAGGCCAAGAAAACAAACTTAAGTGCCAAATGTTCATGCACATATAAAAATAATCGAACTATGTGAGAATCAGATATGTGATATTTGATACAAAAATGTTAATCTTACTCTGTTCATTTTTACCTCAAAGATTAGTGTTCTTATTACCACTATAAACTGTTCTGTTGGAATATTTTGTAATCGAAATATTGCTTTATAAACCACCCAGTTTTTCTTAATACCTATATGTGGTGTCGTTTCAACTGTAGGCGACATAGAAGCTGGTGTCAAAGCCAGGATCAGAAAAGTAAAACAGACTTTCGTTACTCTGAAAGCGGTGTGGAAATCTACTGTACTCAGCGTAAGGTATAAGAGCCGGATTATTATTATTATTCCCTTGGGTTCCAATTGGAACATAGGGATTCAACAACACATCTCCACCTTCCCCTATTTCCTCCTGTCCTCTTCAACTGGCTGGTTCCACGAATGACCCAAAAGATATCTTTGCTGAACTTCTTGTTCTTTTCCGTCTAATGTCCTGCTGGATATTTTCCACGATTTGACCATAATCTCTCATCTCCTCCTCCCCCCAAACGATCTCCTCCGTGTCACCCTCGCAACGACGAACCACTCGTCGCTTCCCATTAGGATGCCACTCAAGCAATGGTCTGCATTGCGCGCGATGTCATTTGATGGCCTCCTTCCCCAGCGTGTGCGTGACCCATCTCCATGGTTGGTTTGTTGCCAGCCAAACCTAGTTTCTTGTTGCTGATTCTTTCTGGCCTGCCGGTCTGCCATTTGATCTTCAGTATGGAGCCAGCCAGTGAAGGCAGCTATGGATAAAGGTCTGCAGTGGTATGTTGGAAATCCTTTCTGTCATATGCAGTGCAAGTTTCTGACCCGTATAGAAGAACTGACTGACTGACTTCACATTTGTGTTGAAAGCAAATCTTGTTGTTTATGCTGGCTGGCTGAGCGCAGTGCAGATGATTTCCAAACTGGTGTCAGGTTGATGAAGACGTACCTTGCATTTCCCATTCTGGCTGTGACATCTTCATCCCTGCTGTCCTACTGCCTGTGGTTGAAACAGTGCTTCCTGGTCAGATAGGTGAAGAAAGCGACCTCTGTGAAATCTCCCCAGTTGATGGTGGTCGGTGTTGGTTGTTGCTGCTGTTGGTTGGTTGGTCATCTTCATCACCTCCATCTTCACTTCGTTCACCTGGAGTCATGTCCTCACTGTCACCCACTTCTGCGTGTGTATGGCAGTAGATGCATATCATCTGCGAAATCTAGATCCGGATATGCCGCACTAATGTCAAGTCTGTCAGGGATTCTATATGGTACACAGACCTGACGCGTGCATCACCGAAAAGCATTTTCAACAAACTATTGCAGACTTTTATTGACATCTGTCTTCGCTGGCTCGATAGTGAAGATCAGATAGTCAACCAGAAAGGATGAGCAATAATTAACTCTAGCAACGAACTGCCAAGAAACCTGCTGCCCATCAAATATGCCAGAGGTAATGAGAACGGAATGGACACAAGCTGAAGAGACTGTTGAGTTAAATCACTTCCTAGGCAGACCCTTAAGAGTAAAGGACGAGTTGGGCGTCTGACTGTAACATGGAGGAGATTGTGGGAGGTGAAAATGGAAACTTTTGGGCAGCTAATCAATCAACTAAAAAAGATGTCAGAGAATGAAATACAAAAGAGATGTCCTGTTGAAGTAAAACAACCAGTTGAGCGTTCAAGAATGACAAACAGGAGATCGTATGAGTAGATGAAAGCTTAGAACAGTCATAGATCCAACCAAAAAGATGTAGAGGAAAGTAGGTGAAAAGTCAGTGTGCTGATGATGCCGTATGTTTTACTTAGAATCTGTGGGAATTATTTATACATTTATTAGATAATTTTGCTTTCACGTGATAAATAGAGGAATATCACGAAGCAAAATTATAAGAGTAGTGTTATCTTCATTTGAAAAATGGAGAATATTTATTACATGTTTCCTCATAAACTGAAACTTTCTATAAACGAGTCTTAATCTGTCTTTAAGTCATGAACTGTTTGAAGGTTATTCAAAATGAAAGACACAGTGAATTATAGCTGTATTAATACTGTCATCGCTGCAGACGGAAGGGATGAAGATGTCAAAGTCGTCTATGACTGGGAAAGCAAGATGGACATCCATTACTCTGAGAGCACCTTGGAAGTGCATAGCACTCATCATAAGGAACAAGATCCGAATGTCAAGTCACTGCTTCTACACAGCTTACAGATATTGCATGCGCTCCACCGAAAACATCTTCAACAACCTACCGCGAACTTTTATCAATACCTCCCTACGCTGGCTAGATATTGGAAGTGAAATAGCCAACCAAAAGGAATAAACAACAACGAATTCTAGCATTGAAACGGCCAAGAACCTTTGGCTGCTTTTGACTGGACACTAACTAGTGTCATATGACTAGTCTGCAGACTGAATACTGTCAAACAAGTTTGTAATGTGGCCATCATATCAGGTGGCTCGCCACCACGGTACATTCAGGATTGCTGTTATTAGATGGTTGGAGGCAATCGGTAGGAAGCCTTGGACCTAGATTTCGCGCCAGTTGGCACTCTTCAGCAAGGCATATCTGCATTCGTCTAGATGCATGACACCAG